TATTATTTATTATAAATATTATATTGTTTATTTATTTATTATTATTATATTTTTTTTTTATAATTATTTTTTGTAATATGTTTTTGTGCGCTCGTTGGATGCATATTTTATATTTTGACAAAATGTATGCCCTAGTTTTGCTGACAAACATTAATGTGACATTTTCCATTTAGTTTTTGTCGCGACAATTTCGTGTGTGTTTCGCTGTTGTTGCTATTGTCAGAGAGCAATTGGGCATATATTGGAAAACCCTTTAATGCACGAGGCGCGTAAATGCATAGCAGAAAGTTTAATTGAAAATGTTGAATTTTTTTGGCCAGTTTGCCTTGAATTCTGCGGCATTGTTGCCAAAGTGCCTGATGAAATTAATAAAATGAATTTCTCAGAAAATTGCGCTGCCCCAGAGCCCAGAACATTTTGCGAGCGCTCACACAAGATACACGCTGTACAATTGGTAAAAAATTATTTAAAATTGATTTATTTAAGGCAACAGCTTTTACATAGACTTAAAGTTGATCTCTTGAGTAATTTAATTTGAACAAACAAATTAGTTACACTTAGTTTCAAGCATCGACAAATTGATTGCACGGAAAATTCAATTAGGTGTCACAAATCACCGACAGACTCAAGTTGAGCCCATTTCTATGAACAGAGATAAGACCTGGCGGAAGCTGACAGACAGTTTGGATACAGACTGTGTGTATGTGTGTGTGTGTGTCTGTTGGGAGATGTGGGTTGTGTAATAGACTACTTCCTGTTTTTGTCAGTCAGTGGTGCAGTCAATGACTGATCAAATTTGTCAAGTAATTCGGCAAGAAAAACTAGATAGGAATTTGAAATTTTCTTATTCTGTTAGAGAAGTGAGTTTTTATTCAAATATATGCGATAAAATAGTCGACAACTGCCAAAATATTTTCCAGCTAAGCATAAGTAGTAGTCTAATATGAACTTAAGTAGCTACTAAGGCTATAAGCGCATAATCAGAAATGCAAATGTGGAAGACCCACGGCTCAAGCATTGAGGAAAAATTGAAAATCACAGAACTGAAATATGCCAAAGCAAATGGAAAATGCTTAAATACAAATACCATTTGCAATTTTACACGCACGTATTTCTATTACTTTATGGGTATGAGAATATTACTATAAGCCGCAATAGGAGTAGCTATGTGTGCGTGTTTGTGTGTGTGTGTGTGTGTGTGAGTATGCTCGTTCATACGTGATCCGGCTGGTATTGCCATTGCATACATCTCGGCAACTGCGGCGATGGCTGCTGTGAATTGACTTGGCTCACTGCTCGGCTCGGCATTAATTTTTCAACTTGAGTGGCTGCTTACCAAGGCTTATGCCATAGTATGGGGCATTCCGGGAAACATACTTATCGGATTTGTAGTCTGCAGTGAATGTTTTGCGGTTTTTGTTATGCGTTGCGCCCAAAGCATCTCCCTCTAAAAGTTTCTCAAACAATCTCTGTATTTCCTTGGAATCTGTTCTGCTCTATAAAATGTTTTATATTTTTGCCAAAATGTAAGCGTATTTGGGAATGCCCGATTTTTCATGCTTGATGACATATTTATGCGCATTTCACAGCTGCTGTAAATCAGCGCTCGGCCTATCAACATTGCCGCACACGGCCACGCCCACATACTTCCACAAAATGAGCCGTCGCTTTAGACCCTTGACAGAATGTTGTACAAAATACCGCATGATTAGCTAACCCAAAACTCTCTTTTTGTCTGTGTGTGTATGCGTGTAAGTGATTCAGTATTCTCCTGCCAAAAAAAAAAAAGGACAACTTCACATATGCTGCCAGCATCGTATTGCATGTGCGCATCGCCTCGCGTCCAGCTAACAACTTCATAAATATGTCGAGCATGTGTATCGCATAACAGCTCCGTCAAACCTCACAGACTTCGACTTGCCCTAAAGTCATCCAGCTTTCTCTCAAAAAAAAAAAAAAAAAAAAAAAAAAAATTCTCCAGGCAGAGATTTGTGCGTGTCATCGCTCAAAGCGAACCATTTTTACGCTTCCGTTCAACAACAAAATGGCATTAAACGCAGATCAATCACAATCTGGACACCGAACTGACCCACATGGACACATGATATAGGGGCCAGGGCGAGCGACAGTGCTCGGACTTGTGGGGTTAGAGTTTCCACCCATGCCCATAACTGACATTTGAACTCTGCCGATGCTGGGGTGGCAATGAAGTTTTTCTATTTTCTGCCTTTTCTGCATGTGGCTAGAAAGTGTGGAGCAGCCTTAATTTGTCTTCGGTTCTCTGCGCAGTTAAGAGCTACAAATTTATAGACCCCTTATCACTATCGTTGAACTTTATGGTATCTAGCAGCACTGGCCATCGTTCATTAATTACTTATGCTTAATTGATTGCGAAGACATGGCTAAAGCCTCAGAAACTTCTGCAGTGTGGAATGTTTCTGCTCGATTTTGTTTGTGAGCTGTGGCAGCCACAGCTTGGCACAGTTTTTGTTCTGCATCTCAGCAGAGATGGAAACTATTTGATTTTGTCTGATCAAATGAACTGAAAATTGTCAGCAAGTTGATAAAACTTTGCCATGGTTTATTCAATTAACATTTGCTTTCGCTGCATTGCCTCAGCCATTGCAATGGCCAATGAATTCTTCAGCCCCAACTGAACAAGTCAAATTAAAAAGTTTTAAATTTTTCCAACTGCTGACAATGTTCTTTGTGACACAATCAATGAGAAGTTGTTTCGATTCGACACACACACACACATACATATGTATATATATTTGAAAAATGAAAACAAATATTTGCCGTTTGCAATTAAGAGTTAATTGCCGTTCAAGTGATTGCATTAAATTAATTAGTTTATTTATTCAGAGAGTGTTTAAAATAACGTAAATCTCATATCTCTCATCTCATTCGATATTTATGCACATTGGCATATTGCATTCAGCAATTAATTTGCCTGCATTTGGCTGTGAAATTCCACAAATGCCCGTTTACAATAACAATGTGTGTTTGATCAAAAATGCAAAATGCCCCCACTTGGGGGAAGCACACGCATAAATTGCAAATGCAAGTTTTCACTCGACTCGAAATGCATAGGGAAATTGCAACATGATTTATATCTAAGGGCAGAGTGCAAATACTTTTGGAAAATTACTTTGAGCCGCAGACGGGGAGCACTTAGAGGCGTATTAATTAAATCAACTGCAAGGCAGATTGATATACAGAAATAACTCTGTGGCAATAATTGAAATAAATCGAATGACTTTTGCAAATGTTAAGATTTATCACTGTCAACTAAATGTACACATACATATGTATATGTAAATTGAATAGATACTTAAGAGTCCGAGGCACGACGCTTAGCTTATAATTGCGCAATACTCACTCAACTATTTGCCGGGGCATGAATTCAAATTGCAATTGCAATTCGATGTGTGTTTGGCGCTTGGCTTGCAATTGCAATTGGGCTTGAGTTGCAAAGTGTGAAACAAGTGCCGCCAATTTGCGCGAACCACTTGTGAATTGCACTTGAGTTTTGTAAATTTTTTGGCAAGCAAAAATTTCACTCGTTGCCGCGCGGTTTGTCTTCTTCTTATCGAGGCTTTTGACGAGCTGCAGCTCACAGTCTGTCTGTCGGCTGTCTGCACATTCTTCTCTGCGCGATGCACACGCGAGTTGGCCAATTAATTGTTAACCTTGTTTACAGCGACACTCGATTTGACACCGTTTTTGATATTTTCGTTTTATTTTTATTATTTTTTGGCCACGTTTCACGAATCGCACGCGCGCATAAATCTTGATCTTGTTGCGGTCAATTAGCTTTTAGCCACTATCCTTCCGCTGCCAATTGTCAATTGCCAACTACGCTTGGCCGTTTCTTTCGGCTTGCTTGCCCAAGGTTGTGGCTCCAGTTAAGTGTTCAACATAAAACACATCCACATTTCATTTGTGCCTATTACGAATAATACTTCGCGATATTCCGCACACAAGAGTCTTGGCGCTTCGGCACGTAAGCTATTCGCCGTCTGGCTCATTCACAATTTCGCATTGAACTGAACTGCTGTGTGGCATCGTCGTGCGGATTTTCCTGTTTGCTGTTGCCGTTACTGCTTCTGCTGCTGATGTTGCTGCTGCTGTTGCTGCTGCTGCCGTCAAAGCACAGTGGCCACGCAGAAGAAAGCTAGAAAATTACGTTCAAGTGAATTATATGCCATTTTTCTTTGTTTATGAAATTGTTAAGTTTATTATGTGTTGTTTACAGTATTAATTCTATATCTGTTGTGTCGAATAATGATATATGCTATTATAAATAATGTATAAT